CTTACCTTGTATTTAGAAAACATAAACAGTATTTAAATGTTAAAAGGTAACTTCTCTTTCTTTTTTCCCCTCACTTTAATTTTATATGCTATTTTATTTTTTGAAAAGTTCATTAGGTTATTTTCTTTTAATAGCTGGAAGACAGTAAGACAAATTCTATTCAAGATAATATTTTAAGTATCTATTTTGTGGAAAACTAGGAAGTTTTTATCACTCACACGGTTAAAAAAAAAGTTAATTTAAAATAAGCTAAAAGCATTACATAGCTGAAAACCACCAAATGACAAAACATGACTTCTGACAAGAAATACAGTTAAGCTGAGAAGAAAACGGATTCAGAAGAAAAACCACGCGGGCCACATGCTTTTAATCAGCTATACCCTCAAGTAAAAATAGTCTTATGTGAACCTGATTCCTTTTCTGTGATAGGTGAGATTCAGAGACTGCCTACACGCTTCTAACAAGTATGTAAACATGTCATGTACATCCTCTTTAATTCATAAATCTGTTATCTTTTAGACATTATGTGTTTTGTATTTTTAATAAAATACTCAAATTTTTTACTTCTCTGAGAATACTCAGGGTCTTTTAAAAAATGTCTTAATTAGAGAATTCAACAGTTTATCTTCAGATGTTAAAATTCTTTTATGTCTGTGACAGCTTATTATAAAATATTGCATATTATGTAATACATAATATGATTTAGTTTTTTTTTCCCCATTAAACCTAATAATCTTACTTAAGAGCATCCATTATCACCCTGGTTTGTAATATGAACCTTATCTTAATATAATAAAATGGCACGAATCGTGGGTATTGGAGCCAGACTACCTGGGTTCAAATTCCAGCTCCACTTCAACTTCCTCACTTGAAAACAGGATAATAGTTATGGTACCAAGCTCAGACAGCATTGTGAGAAGTGACTTAATATATATACAAGTACAGCCTATTAATGTAACTGCTGTCAATAACTTGTATACCTGTAAAAAGTTGAATTGGCAAAAGTTGTGTGATA